GTAGGGTAGTGATAATCAAAATGTGGGAAAAAAATAACTGAAGAGCCAAAGAGAACTGAGGCCCTATGTAAAGTGCTGTCCTGTGGGATAGGCAGCTATCAGAAATGTCACCTCATTTCCAAATCAGATTTGCAGAACCCCAGTACTGGCAAAACTGACTCATCTATTTATCTCATTCCTACCCCTACAAAGTTCTTTTAACCTAGTGATCTCTTTTTATTGGTTTGGGCCCCAGATACTCTCTCAGCCTAAATAAAGATTTCTAATCTGTTGATTTCCAGTTAGGGCTGTTCGAGCAGATATATTTGAGGACAGTTACTCACCTTTCACACCGTACAGTGGACTGTGTTATTTGTTGAGTAAATTAATACAGTGTTAATAATAATGCGCTATTTTGTAGTATATCTGCATAAAGTAAGCTAGATAAAACAAAAAATGGAAGCTAATAGCAAGGTTTTTGTTGTTGTTGTTTGGGTTTTTTGTTTTGTTTTGTTTTTTAAATCTCTGAAGAATCTACAATGTTTCGGTCCTTGGATTTCTTTCAAGCGATGAACAGCTTGTATAGTTGTGTCTTAGAGACTGAGAAACCCCTTTCATTCTGAAAGTATGCTGATTGCTTTGCAAATGAAGTTGAGTTGTTTTGAACTGTGCTTTTGTTGGTGTTGATAGAGTTTCAACACAATAAATACTTACATAGCACTTAAATTGATCCTGGCACTAGAGATATTAATCCACCATTAATTTTAATGATTTTCTACAATACAGTTTATTTTAAAATTAAAAGAAATAGGACAAAATCCAAAACGTAAGTTTCAACAGGAAAGCAGATTGCACAAAATAAAGTATTTAGATTGATTTCTGTCTTTCAAGAAAAAAAAAAATTTCTAATTCTATGCGTGGACTCAGGAACATTAGAAAGTGATAGCTCTATTCCAACCTGAGCACACAGAGTAGTAATGTTGGGCAATTGGTTAGAATTCTTTAATTAGTTGCCCATAGAAAATCATAGAATCATAGAATGGTTTGGGTTGGAAAAGACCTAAAGGATCATCAACTTCCAACCCCTCTGCCCCAGGAGGGCCACAGACCTCCAGATCTTGTAGTAAACCAGGTTCAACAGCACCCTGGCCTTGAACACTTCCAGGGATGGGGCATCTGCAACCTCTCTGGGCAGCCTGTTCCGGCATCTCACCACTCTCTCTGTAAAGCACTTCCCTCTGACATCAAATTTAAATCTTCCCCCTTTGAGCTTAAAACAATTCCCCCTTGTTCTGTCACTGTCTTCCCTTGAAAAAGTTGATTCCACTTCCTTTTTATTACCCCCCTACCTTTTTTTGGAAGGTAGTAATGAGGCCTCCTTACAACCTTCTCTTCTCCAGGCTGAACAAGCCCAGCACCCTCAACCTGTCTTTGTAGGGGAGGTGCTCCAGCCCTCTGATCATCTTTGTGGTCCTCCTTTGGACCCCCTCCAACAGCTCCACATCTTTCCTCTATTGAGGACCCGAGACCTGGCTGCAGTACTCCAGATGAGGCCTCAGAGGGCAGAGTAGTGGGCGACCTCTATCACCTATCTATCCCTGCTGTCCACCTTTTTTCTTATGGAGCCCAAGATACCACTAGCCTTCCAAGCTGCAAGAGCAGACTGCTGGCTCATGTTCAGTTTTTCATCCACTAGGACCCCCAGGTCTTTCTCCACAGGGCTTCTCTCTAGGAGTTCTTCTCAGAGTCTGTATATATATCTGGGATTGTTCCAAACCAACTGCAAAACCTTGCACTTTGCTATGTTGAATCTACATGAACTGTGTGTCTCTCTCTAGTGGTCTTACCCTTCTGTTCTAAGCATTCAGACAGCTACTGTGTTTTGTAATCTGGCTTATTCTTCCTACCCCACAGCTTTCTCTTCCTTAAATGTTATTAAATTAGATTATTAAATGTCTGGTAATTTTGTACTATTTGAGTGAAACAGAGAAATAGCTGTGATCTAGCTATTTAAAACATACAGTGACAGCTTTATGGAGATAGCGGGAGGTCTACCCTACAAGTATGGTTTGGCACTTTTGTTAGTACTGTCAAATAAAACTTTCTGATACTGTCAGTTAAGTGAGTGTAATATTTTCTTTGAGATAGTGTAAACATTTAATCTTTCCAGCATAGTTACTATTAATTATACTGTCACACTGAGTCCTTCCCTTTGGTGAATGAATCACAGATCAGTGTCTTGATCAGATCTTATGGCCTTGGTCAGGTTTTCGCTGCATGTGTGTGTACTTATTTCTGCCTGATTTCTTACAGGCACTCTTGTCACCCTACTGTCTCAAACCCTGCTCACTTCCTATGACTCTGCCTTTTGGGATGCATGACTGAATATGGGATTCTGAATATCTAACATGACTTTTCAGCACAATGTATGCTGCAATACAACTTCGAGATCAGACTAGGAGAAGAGTGGAGGATAGAAAATGTAATGTTGATATTTACAAACATATTCTAGAGTTATGGAAATGCGAATTATTACTTCATTTAGTTAAAAGGGATAAAACTGATATTGTGAAACATCCATAGTTAAACACAGAATAACAGAAAGAGTCAAAGTGCTTCACCATTCTGTGATTCTGTGATATTGACTCCTGAAAATGTGAATTACTGGAATCTCAAAGACTGTGGAAATCCATTAGACCCTCTTAGAATTTGCTACTGTCTGTTGTTGGAGGTGCACAAGACATGGCCCAGAGTGGCCATTTTAATTCTAATTTTTACATGGAATCATAGAAGACCCTAGGTTGGTAAAGAACCTCCAAGATCATCCAGTCCAAACATCCACCTACTACCAAAATGAACCTACTAAACCATGTCCCTCAGTAGTACATCTAAATGCTTCTTGTATACCTCCAAGGACAGTGACTTAACCTGGGCAGCCTGTTTCAGTGCCTGACCACTCTTTCAGAGAAATTTTCCCTAATATCCAACCTGAATCTCCCCTGGTGCAACTTGAGTCCATTCCCTCTAGTGCTATTGCTGACACCCACATTGCCACAACCTCCATCCAGGCAAAAGTGAAGAGCTGTAATATCTCCCCTGAGTTTCTTCTTCTCCAGATTAAACAATTTCAGTTTCCTCAGCTGCTCTTCATAAAGCTTGTGTTCCAGACAGCTCATTGTCCTTCTCTGAACATGCTCCAGTGCCTCAATCTCTTTCTTCTTGCAAGGGGCCCAAAACTGAGCAGAGTACTCCAGGTGTGGCCTCACCAAAGCTGAGTACAGGGACATGATCATTTCCCTGCTCCTGCTGGCCACACTATGATACAAACCAAGATGCCATTGCCTGTCTTGGCTACCTGGGCATGCTGATGGCTCATGTTCAGCTGAGCATTGTCCAGCATCCCCAGGTCCATTTCCTCTGAACAGACTTCCAGCCACTCTGCTGCAAGCCTGTAGCATTGCCTGGAGTTGTGATGGCCAGAGTGTTGGACCTGGCACTTTATCTTGTTCAACTTAACCCCTCTGGCCTCAACCCAGTGATCTAGCCTGTCCAGATCCCTCTGAAGGGCCTTCCTATATGCAGGCAGATTGACACTTCCTCCAAACTTGGTCTCGTCTGCAAACTTACTGAGGATGTACTCAATCCCCTCATTCAGATCACCAGTAAATATATTAAACAGCACAAGCCCCAGTACCAACTCCTGAGGAACACCACTCATGTCTGGACACCAGCTGAATTTAATTCCATTTACCATCACTCTCAGAGCCCAGCCCTCCATCCAGTTCTTTGTCCAGCACATAGTGCACTTGTCCAAGACTGCCAGCTTTTCCAGGAGAATACTGCAGGAGACATCTTTGCTGAAGTCTAGGTGGGCTATGTCAACAGCCTTTCCCTCATCCACCAGGCAGGTCACTTGATCTTAGAAAGAGGTCAGATTGGTCAAGCAGGACATGCCCCTCATGAACCCATGCTGGCTAGGCCTGATCCCTAGTTTGACCACGCATGCTGTCTGATCTCAGTCAAGATGATCTGCTCCATAACCTTTCCTGGTCTCGGGGTCAGGTTGACAGGCCTGTAGTTCCCCAGATCCTCCTTATGACCCTTCTTGCAGGTGGGAGTCATACTGGCAAGCTTCCAATCCTCTGAAGCCTCTTCAGTTGAACAGGAATGCTGATAGATGGTGAAAAGCAGCTTGGCTATCACATCCATCAGCTTCCTCAGCACCCTCGGACAGATCCCATCTGGCCCCAGGGACTTGTGGTAGTTCAGGTAGAACAGTAGGTCTCTATGGTGATACATATTGTGATAAGTTTTCTATGAAACTATTCCTCAACATGACCCACAGACAACAGATTCTTTTTCAGCAGTCAGCATCTCACTCCCCAGTCAGAACATCATGAAGGAAGAACGTGGTACTCTGAAGTATGTATTAGCTTTCTATCTGCTGGTGTTCAATTGGATCCAAATATCCTTGAAGATGTTACGAATTGCTTTGTTCTCTGCAGCCGTTGTCACAAAATGTCTTCAGCTGATGCTCACTCAGTCCAAATTAGAGAGCAGACAGAGTACTCTCCATGGTGTGTATTAGCTAAGGGCCTCTATTTTAGCTAAGGGCCCTATTTTAAGCCTGGGCACGCTGCAAATCCTGGGCTTTTGAGATGGAAGGCTGATTGAGCAGAAAAGTCATTGACCTGAAACCTGTAGTAGACTGAAAAGTACTGATGGTTTAATCCTGACTTTCATTCTGTTCAATAAAGTCCAGGACAGAGAATTTTATCTTGTTGGGACTTTAGGGGTCTATTCATTTCACACACACACACACATACAAAAAAACGAGAGGAGAGGAGAGGAGAGGAGAGGAGAGGAGAGGAGAGGAGAGGAGAGGAGAGGAGAGGAGAGGAGAGGAGAGGAGAGGAGAGGAGAGGAGAGGAGAGGAGAGGAGAGGAGAGGAGAGGAGAGGAGAGGAGAGGAGAGGAGAGGAGAGGAGAGGAGAGGAGAGGAGAGGAGAGGAGAGGAGAGGAAGTATCATTACTCTAAAGAATTCAACTCTCATTCGAAATGCACTCCTTGCATAGATAAGCCATATAAGCTTGTTTGGTTCAAGTGCAAATCCAGTTACCAAGAAGATTTTACTTGTGTGAATTTTCTGCCTTTTATTCATTCCTTCCAAATAGTCCTCTCTTCTTTGGATTAGTTTTAGCTTTGATATGCTGGTAGAAATGCATGTACATTTGTTTAGGCCAATCTCCCTTTACAGAGCATGCATATGGTTTCCTTTTATCTTCTCTAGCAGTATATTTGTTGATTGATTTTTAGTATTTTCTTTTCCAACAACTATGAACAACTATGTAGCTATTATAAGGAATTTCCACTCAATTAATTCATTTCGTCAGACTGATTTTTTTTTAAACACTTCTCTGAACAAGCCACCAATTAATATGCAGATCAGAATTGGTCACAATTTCCTTGGAGCACACCTCTTATATTTGGTTAAAGATCAGTTCACACTGATGAGCTCCCTGAACTCTTGGGAATACAGGTTTTGATTTTATCTTATTAGAGAATAAACTCTATACAAATAATACATTTAGATCTGTAAAATATAGCAAGATTAATGGAGGACATACTCATCATCTCTCCTACGTGGTTTGCATTTTGAAACGATCTCTTCTTCACAAGTGGTCTCTGCTTATTATCTTTATTATTTAGAAAATAAATACTATTCTTAGCATAGGTAACGCTCATGGACTTTCCACATCCTACTAATAATACTTCAGATAGCAGCATGTATCAGTAACATTCAGTAAGCTAATCAAAATATTAGGACAGAAGACATTGTTTGTTTGGATCTTTTTTTTTCTTGGATGGAGAAGATAGCATTTTTTTTTAAACTCATGTCATTTTATTCAGATATCTGCTCCTTTTCTGTCTGCAGAGTATAGTCACATGCTGTCCCTTTCCCACATCAGAGTCCCCAGTTTGATAGGTTAATTTCACCAGATATATGTGAGTGCTGATGCTAAGCAGGATTTTTGATTTTTATGCTGTTCTGCAGTCTGTACACAAGATCCTGAGGTACTGAACATTTCATTTTATATTTCATATATTGCATTCTGCTCTAAGCACTTGAACTGGTGCATTGCTCACATATTTCACTGTATGCCAAAGTTTTTCTTTCATCTAATGGATATGCTAGATCCCCAGATTTTCACTTAGCTGAACTGGGAAGAGTTTCACATAGCACATCTGAGAACAATTAACAGCTGTAGCAGCCTCTGAAATGAGTTGGCAATAATAGAGACTTTGAGAAAACTGAAAGATTTCATGTAAACTTTAACCAACACATGTATGAGTTTCAACAGATGAGACATGAATAACATATTTTCATGGTAACCACTTATCATTAAATCTCTCCCTCAGGCTCCACCTCTGGTGCTTTTTCCCTCAGACAGGCACCTGGCAAGATCACTAATTCAGTTCCTCTGCTCACAGTAGCTATTACTATTGTAGGAAAACTATTCCATATATTTTTAACCCTTCTGTCCCTGAACTGAATCCACATCTATAGATGTTTTGAGCTGCAACTGGGTTTTTCTGCTGCTTGCAAAAATCACTTGGAATATAAACTGGCAAAAATACTATCAAACCAAGGTTGCAAACTAACAGTGGGAGAGACCAAGTATTAATTGAAGGAGTGATCAGTAATGTTTTAATTGCACAAACAACACTCATGTTAACTGTGTAAGTTAAACTCAAGTTACTAAGTTACTGTACCACATCTGATACCCAGGGTCATGTATCTTATATTTTGGATAATTCCCATTCTCCCAATGCTATTAAAAACACAACTGCTAGAGACTGCAAGAATATGCCTGCTTATCTAGTTTGCTTTATCCTTTTATTTAAAAAAAAAAAAAAAAAAAAAAAAAAAAAAAAAAGCAAACAACACTGGTGTAGCGGAAATCCTAAGTCTAAGTCACAGCCTGAACAAGTAATTGAGCACCTGGTGGGAAGGCAGGGCCAACCCAGGGGAGCTCAGGTGCATAAAATGCCCTGAGTGACCAAAAGGGTGGAGCCAGGATTGACCTCTTCCCAGACCTTATTTAAGTGTTGAAAGTGAAGGTGAGAGTATCTTTTTGGAGATTTCTGCCTACCAGAGAATTTTTGTAGGTAAGTGGTTTTTCTTTCTTTGTTTCTCTGGCTATAACTGCTCTATTTGGGCTTGTTCTTGTTTGATACTGCCTGGGATTGTGCTACTCTGCTATTATTGCTATGCCTTACATCGTATTACAGCATTGTAACTGAATAGTTTTGGTTTCTGATATAAAATTGTTTTGAACATTGAAGTTTAGTTCTCTGGGAAGGATTTGTGTGCGAAGACGTCTGTTGAGATTTATTTGTAAGAGTTAGAAACTACTTGTTAGAGTAGTTTCAAATCTTTTGAGTGTAGATGGTTATAGGATATAAACAACTCCATAAAACCTACAGCATTTTCCAGACTGTCAGTTGGGTTACAACAGATAACAAAGTCTAAATCTAAGAGGCATTTTTTGTCTTATGCTTTTAGTGACATTTGGATTATGGCAATAGTCTTCCTTACACTTTTTGAAAGGTTTCCTTTCTTACTCTCTGTAATTTTCTGTTGTGAACAGGTAAGAACTTAAAAAACAGCATGCTAAACAGTGGTTTGAGCTTCTGCATATCTGCTAGATGCAAGTTTGAAATAAATTGTTAACACTTCTCACGGAGTGATTCATTCTATTAATGTTGTAGTACAGTGCTTGAGGTGAGGCCCCAGTTGATCCAGGCAAGAACAAGATTATCCTATCTCTGGTTATACCTTAGAACAATGCCAGTGCAATGTGTTTTTTTCCTATTGTACAGTGCTAACTAGCAGCATCCATCAGTGGTCTGAGGCTCTCAAGGATCAAAACTTACCTGAGCTGAGCTAAGAACCTTCCTTTATGAAAAGTGCCTGCCAGCTCCGTGCATCTGAAGATGAACTAGACTTTGAAGAGGAACTACGCTTTAAAATGGCATGTGTCTTCCTGGCTACAAAGAGTACTAAATCTCTAGACTTCTCTTTAGTGAGAATTGTGCTCACTCCACTAGTGATGAAATGTCTTATCATCCTCTGGCCAGCACCCTCCACCACTGCCAGCTGTGATTTATTTGGTGCTTTAAGTTGCTCTTTCCCACAGTGCTACTCCAATTATATATAATGCCCAGAATTAGGAGCTCCATAAGATCCCTCTGAGCACTTTAAGGTAGCTGAATGGTGATTTGCTCTACCTCAGCCTGTAAAAAGAAAGAGTAGCTAAATGACAGAGCCCCTGATACGTAGCAGATGTAACTTCATCTATAAATGTTTGTTTTCAGTTGCAGTAGAGGCGTCAGCCAGGTTGTCAGAATTGTCTTGCACTGCAACTAAATGTCCGCATATGTCAATAGATAGCACATCCTTTTTTTTTTTTTTTTTTGTATAAACTTATTACAAATCTTAGCAGGGCTCAAGAGCATTAAAAAAATCTTAATTATTAAATCATGAAGTATATGTAATCATTAAGAGGAATACAATCACTCAGCCATATTAAATATAATTCCAGGGACTAATATAACTGATTCCAATCTCCGACTAAAATTCATCTTATTTGGTGACCAACAGGAATTTCTTGCGCAAAATTGATGGGAATAGATTTCTTAATAAGAAAGCAGTTCCCATCTCCTCCCATTGCCAGTGAGAGCTTTACTTTTTTTCCTTTCTGTCTCTCTCCATTCCATGTTCCTCCTTCCCTACTCTTCAGTGTAAACCCTCAATTTGTCAAAACTTTTCTTCCAAGTATAAGATTTTTTTTTTTTTTGTCAGATATCTTTGCTTATCACAGTCATGAACTTGTGAAATGTGACTGTCAGAACCATTGGGAGAGTTAACAACAGGTTGTAGCACAATGATAAACTCTCATAAGTAAAATATCCCACAAATGGAGTGCATCACATAGTCACAAGTGGTGAAGCTCTAGATTCACCTATAAGAACTGTATTGTTTCACCTGGGAATTTCCAATGAGAGTTTATATCTGGCTCAGGTTTAAAATGCTGGATGTAATTAAGTTTAGGAGAGAGATCACTGATATTTAGAGTTATATCAGATAATTATTTTGCCTCTTCAGTGTTTAAGAGTCTCCTAAATTTCCAGAAAATGCGTAAGTATTTCAGTGGGAAACTGAAGACCCTTTTTAAAAATAAATAAATAAATAAAAATTGTTTAAACTTCAGTATTAAGAGTCATGTTTTCTGGTGGGCTTCATTGTGTTTAACAGAGCTATGCCAGCATATATGAATAAAATTCTTTTTTCTGGCTAGCTAGTAATAGGAAGATTGTAGCATACAAAACAGGATCCTGAGTTACAGGGTAGGAATACACTATGAAGAAATGGAGGAGGGGAAAAAAAAAAAAAAGGCCTTTCCAAAATATCTTTACTGAATAAATATTAAATGAAAGACAACAGACTGAGAAGCAGGCAAAAAAAAAAAAGCAAAAACAAACAAACAAACAAAAAAAAACTTCAGCAACCAATAGTGTGATAATCTTAAAAAAAAAAAAAAAAAAAAAAAAAAACATTCCAGAGTATTGTGAAGGTTTGCTCTTTGTTTTAAACTGATAATACTCATTTCTTTTTGAAATATCAGGAGTGAAATGCAGTCTTACTGACATTACAGAAGGCTTACCATTGACTTCAGTGGGAGAAATTTCCTTTCTCTGTATGAAGCTTAGCTACACTATCTCTAGATATGGTATTGCTATTCTTAAATAATAGTAAATAGTTGATTGCATATTTTTGGTGATTCTTCTTACTCTTTATTTAAAAGAAGACTAATTAAAATAATCACCTTATAAAAATGAATATTTTCTTTTTTTTCCCCTCTAGCTTTCTTAGTCTCTTTCTTTCTTCAGAATAAGATGCTCATTGTTTGTCCAGTAAATGAGTAATGTGCTAATTAACTGCACTTCTTATGTGATGAATATTCAATTACTGTAATGAGAAGAGGAGGATGATGTATCTTACCTAAGTAAATTAATTTATTGTTGGGCAATGGATTTGCATCCACCTGGTTGTGACTTCTCACTTAAAGATCTCTAGGTTTGCAATATTTGAGAATTAAAGGAATGCGTATCCTAATTGCTGTTAAAAGAGGCAGAGAAGAAGAAAGGTATTCACTTTTTACACTATTATCTCCAATACATTTTATTTGGAGATAACTTGTGTTCTTTCTAGTGATAAGAAAAAGAAATTACCAAGGAAATTACACTTATTTCCTGTCTTTGAAAAATGCTGGCCCTCTCGTATCATCTTAATAGAGAAGTGAGAGCATCCTCTATGGGAAAGAAAGTCAGTCTCTTCCTACATGAAACTCTGCAAAATATATTTAGCATTCAAGTGCCTTTGTTTCACTTGGTTTGGTAATCTAAAAAAAAAAACAAACCACTTGTATCCAGTATGAAATGCTATGTAGTGAGGATAAGAGTCCTTACTCAAATTGTCATAATTTTCCAATCTGTCCAACTAACACGGTGAGGGATGAAAGGAATGGGGTCGATTTCACAGAAAAGAGTGGTTTCTTTTCTGTTCAGTACTGGAACTGCTTGTCTGATATTCCTGCCCACCCTGTTCCCTCTAATAATACATGGAGTTATTATTAGTTTAATGTGTGAAAGGTTGAAGTCCCCTATTTAAGCTAGCTGTGACATGAAACCTTCCTACCATAGCCTCCAAACCCATTATGTTGTATATTTATAGAGCAGCTGCTTTCTGAGAATTTCTGCTTTTTCCCTATTTTACTACAAGTTAAGGATCATTGTTGTATTTAGTCTTGCTGTTGTGTGCCATCCTGGAAGTGATCCAAATGTAACACATAACACTTCTCTCACCTAAAAAGAAAACATAGCTAAAAAATTATGCAATGTTGGAGTGAAAATTCGAATTACTGATGGTATATATCATAAATTTCTATGGCCATGTGCTGAGGAGAAAATAGAATTTCTGTTCCTTGGGAGAGGAAGGAGGAGAGGCCTAAAGAAAAAGCAAAACAAACAAACAAGCAAAAACTGCTGACAGATTAATTTGCATGAGAATTCTATTCAATAAACTCCAGAGAATCTCTTCATTGGCTTAGATTTTTAAGTGGTAAACAGGATTAGAACAGGAAGGGACATGAAGAGAGAAGTTGAGTTTTATGATACAAGTTTATTTCTTGACAAATGAAATTCTGTGCAGTGGTTTACAGTGTTCCTGACTATAACACCTGACTGGACACTTATTGTGAGATGAAATGTTGGTGGAGTCTTATGCCATGCAGTAGAAATCTAGAGAGTATTCTCAGGAAGAAGAAAAGCAACTTTGATCTAGCAGGCACCTCTGATGTGACCAACATCTTCCTGATTCTAGTCAGTGTGGGGTAGCACATGGATTAGTAGCACCTCTTAAAGAATAGTTCTGGGAAGGCAGGGGACTTTGACAGAGATATGAACTTATAGAACGCTGACTTCATGAGAAATTGGAATTAAATGGGTGAGTTGTGGTGTTCTCTCATACTTATATCTTAATTTTATATTCTATTTCAAATTCATGTGTCTAATTTCCATCTCTACCTACTAAAGCGATAGATTTTGATTTCTCACTGTAGTTACTATCCTAGTCTCAAAGGCCAAAGTTTATGTACAAGCGTACAATCCATGATGGCTGCAGATACTCATGCTGTTGCAAACAGTAAACTACTTCTCCTAATCCTCTCTCCCAAAAAGGAAGGAGAAAAATAAGTGTGACATGAGAAAGTCAGTGTTTAGCAGCAGTACCAGTGCATGCATTATGTCTTCTACTTCCCATGGAGATTCTTCTTGCTTTGTCATGGATTGGCTGTCATGTTTCTGGAGCCTTGGTGAGGCCAGGGACATAATGTCAACAAAGCAGAAAAGGAATGAAGAGCAAAGAGGCCTCTGCAGTCCTAGTCCCAAAAGCATAGTAGATCTAGTGAATTATATAAGCAGATATGAATCTGGAAATAGTACAAGAATCCTTGAAAGAGAATTTCACCACCGACAAGGCTTCCATTGCTCACTGGTAGCTGGCAACTGTTGAGCACAAAGATTTATTGTAGTTGTGTCAACCAGAAGTTTTTGATTAGGTGCTTTGTTAGTTTGATTAAAAACAAGGCTCAGATTAAGACAAAAGGTCAGGGAAGACAGTTGATTCTGAAACATTTCTGACTTAAAAATATAGTTAAAAATAATTTCAGTTGCTGATTATGTTTTTTTTACTTATCCAATAAAAAAAATCACCATGTTTATATCTTTATAAACAGAGCGTGTATTTTATTTCATTCCTATTTTTATTCTATAAAATAATTTAAGGAGAAATATTTATAATTTAAACATAATAAAATGAAAAACACTATCAATGTTCAGTATTCTCCATTTTTCTTGATGCAACTTTTTTGAAGAGTTTTCCCTTCCTTTATTTTTAAAACAAAGAAGGTAAACATTTTAATGAAAAAAAATCTGCCAGCTATAACAGAAATATATTTCTCTTTCTGCCATTGACAGAAATATAAAAATCCTGTAGACAGTTATGACTCTGTACAGATAGAGGTTAACTTATTGCAATACCTTCTTGACAAATTACTTACTATTAAAACGGTGCTCTGCCTAGCCTGTTTGAGTATATGTTGTGTGTTAGGATGAGGGTGATAAAGTAGTTGTAGTCTATAACATAAAGTGATGTTCTTTACGGCACAATTATAGTTTACGTTACCATAAAGCTCTTGACAAAGATGAAAAGTTAGGGAGGATTAAACAAAATGTTATAAAACATATCAAAGTGGGTTGCATAAACAACTGCCATGCTCTGGGAAATGTCTGATTAATTGACTGAAGTGAGACATCTGCAGGATGTAGGCACTATGGATATATCAAAGGATCTAAACTGCTTCATTTGTTTTAATAAAAGTGGCTTAATTTGTTGCAGTACTATAAAGCATCCTGTTATACCTGTCTTTATCATCTTCCTTAGTAAAGGAAAGGGCAATTCTAACCACAAGAGTATTCTCAGTCAAGTTCTACTTGTACATACTCCAGTACAACATAGAAAGGAAGAGATTTTATCAGATTTTTTTTTAAACAAAAAAACAACAACAAAAAAACCTGATGTAGGGAACAAAACTAATGTGTGAAGATGCTTGAGGGGGGAAATAATTACCTGCCTCTGACTTCTAGCTGTTCCTTGATCATTGGGGGGGGGGGGGGAGTGAGGAGTGGAAATTCTGCTATTGTCCTTTCATTTATCGTCCAGACTAATCAAGCATTTAAGACAGAACTGTTTTACAGCCTTAAGTGAACATTTTCAGATAGGCACTGTGATATGTTTGATATGTTTTCTTGAGAGAGAACTTAGGTGCAACAGAAGTACGTAACACAAAGGTAAAACAGCAATCTCGTCTGTAGGTGCCTAGCTATTTCTGGAACTAAACAGATTAGGTATTTTAATAATCCAGACCTGAATTGTTAATCCATATCAAACAAATTCTGAGGTAATGAAGGCAAACTTTTTTTTTTTTTTGTCTTGCAACACATTTAATAGTACAAAACATCAAGATGAGATGGTTTTCCTGGTTTGATTCTGGTTGACGTACAGATATCCCACAAGAGATCTTCCAGAACTGCTGAACTTGTAGCTAGCACTGCTCAGCTTACATTCAGGACTAGATGAAAATTTCTGTAAACCTGCTCTAAATTTTAAAAATGAAATAGACTGTGTAAAGCATAATGACTTTCTCCTTGACAGTCTGTGCACCTGCAAATGTTCAGTGTAATTGAAAAGCTAGCCTTTTCCTCTCCTTTTCCCTTCTAATTCCGTTTAAAAAAAAAAAAAAAAACTTTTCTCGCTGAGAGGATGCTACAGAAATGGAAAAAACTGCTTCTCCCTAGGGGAGTTTGAGTTGAAAATTAGATATGTGTCACCCCTTAGGCAGTCATTTGTGAACTAAGAGAAAGTGGCATGATCACTTGAAAGGGCTTGTCTGAACATTTTGTCCACCAATAAGTATTAAAATTCTGTGCAAGCATAAGTACAGAAAAGTAAATATAGAAAGTAAAAATACAAGAGTTAAGGAGAATGCACTTGTTAGTAGTAATAAGTAACTGTAGTGCAATACTGTAGTAACGGTGTGCTTCAGTCTTCTGCTTTCATTCTTTGAACGTTCTTCTTTTACAATGGACAAATACACTTCTAAATTAGTCTTTTACGGCTTACTGTCCACTGAACTTCATTTTAAGAAGTCAAAACTCAGGGTGACCCAGAAATCAGCTTAGCAAGACCAAATGGTTCTCCCCATAACTTCACTTTTCTTTATTAGTCTTGCATGATTCAATCTTTTGGCTTCCAGCATGACAGACTTCTCAGCACCC